TATATATATATATATATATATATATATATATAACACTCAAAAGTGCTGGTATATATAAAAAATATTAGCACGAATCTCAAAGAGAACAAACGACAAAAGAGGAAAAGACATCCTTTCGAGGTACTCAATTAGCCGATGATCCAAGGCTGAGAGTGAAGCCGCTTATCTAGATCTGGGATATATTCAAGCTCTAGAAATGGTTCCCGGCGCGGTAGCTGCAATACCCGTCGAAAACGAGGCGTGAATCATCCCGATATTGGGTCTTGTTGTTTGCCCAGCGTGTGCTGCAATAAGATCCACTTAAGACCTAGCAAGATTGAGAGATCTGTATGAGACGACGAACCAACTAGGCAAGCGAGACACGACCCCGTAAGACTCGAGCCAAACAAAAAATGAGGCACGACTCATTATGGAAAAAGCCAGCTGATCACATTATACCAACCAACCCTCATCTGGATCGAACGATTACCTCACAAATCGACCTCTTTGGTCGACCATGCCAAAAGATTTCGAGCAAGATCATCATACTCCCAAACAACTTGGCAAATCAACGCAAACCCCAGAAGACACAAATGTCACTCGGTTGGTCGTCTCAGTCGGTTGACTTCAAGTGAGCCGCTCCGCAAATTATCGTCAATAATAATTAAATATTGAAGTTTTTTTGAATATTTTGGGTGCTAAGAGAATAAATATTTAAGTTTGGATGTGAAATAGGTAATATTAGTTGCATTGAGTTATATGAATGTAAATCCCCTAAATCTACATTATACCATCTCAGAATATCATAAAAAGGCTTTTAAATAAATCTGGATTAAGAATTTTAAATATGTTTACTAAATTTTTTATATCAATTAAAAATATTTTTTAATTAATTTCTGTGATTTTAAAATAATAAATACATTATATATACCCATATGTAAGTAAAGTATAGTTGAACGGGCTCTTATATATACGTGCAGTGTTCATTAAATTAATTAAAATGATTAATTAGCTGGTTCAATTATTTAGTTTAAACCTAATAATTTTCAAACGTAAGGTATGCACGAAATTCAAATTTTCAGACAGTATTTTATGATTTTAGGTGGGATAGCACCATGGATGGCGTGTCCTAGACAACAATTATGAGTTATTAAGTCATGAAAATGGTTTGTTTAAATTAAAACTTAATAATTAGTCTAAACTAATTAATGTTGTTCTGCAGAGGAAATTGGGCTGGACGAATGACCATTAATCAAATTTATTCTTTTAAAATCATCTGCATACAAATAGGCAGTGAAATAAAATATGCTACAATTGTCTTGCATATAATGTAAAAAATTGTAAGAGTAGGTCATTGTACATATAGGCAAGATTATAATATATAGACTATAGTTTTGATCTCCTATAAAAATAGTGTTTTATAGGTAAATGTATTGATTGGCAAAATGTGACAATTGTACTTAATAAATGATAGTGAACGTCAATTCAAATTATTATATCAAAATTCATTTTTGATTGGATAAATTTTCTGCAGCATATAACTTATAATAGTTTAAAATAAATTTGGACAAGTTTTGAATCAAGGACTAGCACAATTAAAGAGTACCTTCGGGTTTCTAGCCTAAATTTGTGGGTAAGTTCAACATTAAACTTTGAGCAGTTGTAGGCGACATTCATGATTCATACTTGAATGGATCAAGGCGTTGTGCAACTTCAAAATTAACAGTTTTCTAGTTGTTAGGAGATGATTATTCTCATTCACTGACTTTCATATGTTGGTTTAGATTCTCATTATGACATGTTTAAAGAGTTGAATATGAATATGAGCTTACACCACATTTCTACATATAATTATGCTGTCAATATAATGCAATGCAATATTAGAGAAAGCAAGAAACCATCATTTATAATTTAGAATGGTGATGCACATACCTAGAAGTAGATGTAAATGTAAGTAGAATGTTAGAAAATTCAGGTTTCAACTTTATACACAAATTACAAAAGAAAAGTACATAATAGCCAAGATCTTTTAAATTCATGATTTTTACATATGTAAAAATAAAGCGACGCATACCTGTATTCATGATGAACAAATTTGATCTTGAAGAGATGGAGTTTCTCTCTCTAATCCTTTAAAACTTTCTGTACTTTCTGATGTAGAGAAATGTACGAGGTGTGTTGGGTAGAGAGAGGACTCATTCTCAAATTCATGCTCTATTTATCCACCATCCATCAAGGGGGTTACTAACCAATAGGATTTATGATAATTTAATAAATTAATTGATTTTTATTAATAAAATCAATGACATAAGTTAGTAACATTTATTTATTTTAGGGGTTATAGAGTTACAAAAATAAATATCATAAGTAATCATAAATTATGACATAAGTTATGAGTTAAGAAAATAAATAACTTAAGTTATCAAAATAAATATCATAAGTTGTCATAATTTATGACATAAGTTATGAGTTATGAAAATTAATAACTTAAGTTATCAAAAAAAAATCTCAAAAGTTATTAAAATAATGGTGAGTCATAAATAAAAATATAA